ATAAAATATTAACCCTAAACCCTAAAACATCAATTCTAAACTCTAGGCCCTAAAAAGTAAACCCTAAACCCTAAAAATCAACCATAAACCCTAAAATATCAATTCTAAACCTTAAACCCTAAACTCTAAACCCTAAAAAATAAATCCTAAACGCTAAAAAATCAACACTAAACCCTAAACTATCAATTCTAAACCCAAAACCCTAAATTCTAATAGTATTTTGACTATTAAAATTTTAATGGTAAAGTTGGTTAGTGTAAAGTTGAAAGTGGTATTTTGAAAGTGTTATTTCTGGCAATTTCCCATCGTTTAATTAGGTAGCGGTACCTTCAAAGCTTGAATATTACTCCTATTTCTTAAACAGAAAACTTAGCTTTTCTCAAAAGAATTCCCAAACGTGCTTCCTAATATAAAATATATTTTGGGAAGTGAGACGTATAATTTTCGTTTATAGTTTTATATGTGATTAATGATTTTGACATGGATTGATAGAGTGATGTGATCAGCACTGACTAACTTGTTGGAAAAAAAATTGCCACTGATAATCGGTCAAAAGCTTGATTATGATAGATATGCAATATTGCAATTGCATTATAGATTCACGAGATATAAGAGTATCATTGTCAATGATTCCTTAATAGAGTCCCTTAACGTAAAGTCCCTTAACTAAAAGTTAAGGATTTCTCATAGCGTTTTTAATTAAAAGTTAAGGAACTTTACGATAAGGGACTCAGATTAAAAAATTCTTGGTAATGATGCTCTAAGAAACCGTCTCAAAAGATGTTGATCTAACGACGTGTAGTCTTTCTTTTTCATATCCTTTGAAAGTCATGAGTTTCTCTTTTTTTAAGTGATATTAACAAAACTACACGTAGCTTAGGGATGAGTATCGAACAATTTTTTAAGAAAAATTATATCGAACAAGGAGCCATGTTGCATAGAAAACGTAATATCTTATTTACCAATCAATTCTTAACATTTTTAGTTAAAAATAAAAAATATTTTTTTAATTCTGTTAAAAAGTCTTTACTTTAAAAATCTTGCAATAAATATGCTCTGCACAACATGGCTCCTTATTCGATATGGTTTTGCTTCAAAAACTGTTCTATACTCATCCCTAAGCTACGTGTAATTTTGTTAATATCACTTAAAAAGAGAGACTCATGACTTTCAGAGGATATGAATAAGAAAGACTACACGTCGATAGATCAACCAATGTCTATAATAAAAAATGTGATATGGAACTATTTCTTGGAAACACGTACATAATCGTTATTTTGTCGTAGACAGTTTTGTCGGGCCTCCGAATGTGTCCCAATAGTGCGGTCAATAATATCAATGTATCTTTTCAAAATACGTACTATCTACGTATGTTACTATAGGCTATTAGTTCGACTGTAAGGTTTATAAGGAATTCAAAAAATCTAATCGGTTGTATATTTATAATATTGTTTCTGAAAAAGACAATTGAGGTTTCCTTAAATTTGTAACCAATATGATAGTTCAAAATATGACTTTTGCTAAACTTTGCAGTTGGTGTTTAAGAGAAGAGACAACGGGTCGAAACGGTAAGAAGAAAGGTGGCATCGAACCCTAAATCCCATAATATCTCTTGAAACAGTGACTTTTCAAAGTGGACATATGGCGTATGCTAGTTCTTGCACCTAAAGAAAAACGAAAAAACATAGGTTATTGCATGTTATCTAAAACTCTTAGAATAAACAAATTCTTCTTTGATAAAATTTCCTTGCCAAAAAAAAAACAAATTCTTCTTTGATAAAAGACCTCTTACATTCTTGCCGACACTCCCTTATGTATAAATTTCAACTACTTCTACTATCACGAGAAAACATATTTATGTTCAAATTTCCCTTATGTGGAATCGTAAGTGTCTGTACGACTTACAAGATCAGGTGTAGCATAAAATATAACGAAACAACATATTGCTTGAATTGGGTTGTTGTTCAAAAAGGAAATTAATGAGAACAACTTCTAAAACAAATCCAATAATAAACCTCTCGTTACTTAACCCAACACTACACTCCCACCCCCACTCCCACCACCCAAACCCTAAATACCTATAAGATATGAGACATCTTCACACCAACAACCATGTACTTCCCAAGTCCAAAATAGACACGTGAAGCCATCGTCTACTTTTCAAGAATTCACACAGTCGGATATAGTGAAATGTAACTCCATCCACGATTATCACTATTTGACCACAAAATTTGCTCACAATATTCATATTTCAATAAATAAAGTTATTACTAATTAGTAAAGTGGGACTAAGAAGACAACGATATCTAACAAACATTTACTTTTTTCCTTTTTTTCTGAGCTAGGATTTTTCTTTTGCCAGTAAAGTTAGAAAAGTAGTCAGGTCGGTAACTGTGGCCTGTGTGGGACGTCAGAAAAATGCTGGGAATAATTATTATTACGTCGATCGTCATATAGATGAAAATAATTTAACATCTATATATGGTGACTAACAACATCATCAGAAACGGGAACCCTTCCAACGTCGTTTGTTTTTTAAAAAGAAAAGAAATATTTGTATAACATATACTCCGATGTTTTTGTTTGGTTGATTTGAAAGAAATTAATAGTTGGATTTGAATGAAACAAATCGATGTAAATTAAAACTTAAGTCATTGTTTAATCACAAGATCTGGTTCCTAGACGTCATGATTTGGTGCTCTCTAATCTTATTTTCTCTGTTAATTATTTTATAACTGTTTTGTCTAAAATGGCCATTTCTTGTATTATTATCATAGCGTTAAATCAAATCAACTCATAGTATATAATGGTAATGAATAAACTAGCTAAAGTTCATCAAATAAAAAAATTCACATTGTGACAAATGTAGATGTCACTTTTTCCAGGAGAGTTTTAAAAATACAAGAGTACCAAAAAACTTGAAGAAAGTAGTTAATACAGTCTTTTCAAATGTAACATCTCTTGAAAATACTTATATATATCGTATAACATAAACCCTTTTGCTTGTTTAATGAATCTGAAACAAATTACCAGTTGGATTTGAATGAAACAAAATTGATGTAGTTCAAAGCTCAAGTCATTGTTCATTCACAAGATATGGTCCCTAGACGTCATGATTTGGTTCTCTGTAATACCATTTCCTTCGTTAATCATTTATAGATTTTGTGTAAAATGGTCATTGCTATTATTATTATTATTATTATTATTATTATTATTATTATTATTATTATTATTATTATTATTATTATTATTATTATTATTATTATTATTATTATTATTATTATTATTATTATTATTATTATTATCATAGTGTTATTATATCAAATTAATTGATAGATTGTAATGGCAATGAACAAACTAGCTAGAGTTCATGATTTTTTTTTAAAAGATGACATTATGAAAGTAGCTATTGTAGATGTCATTGTTTCCAGGAGAGTCCTAAAAATACAAGAGTGCCAAGACAAAAATATTGAGGAAAGTAGTTAAGAGGGTCTTTTCCAGAGTAAGATCTTTTGGAACCACTCTAATCGGTAATTGATTAACATCTACTAGCATAGGTGAACAATATAATAATGTAGATTAGGTAGTGTAGAACAGAGACTTTTCGATCCGCTTGAACATAATCTATAAATATACTAATATAATTTTTGTATAACAACTTGTCTCTTTTCCCTCAATCATGAATGATACATAATCCGTTAGGTCTCCTAACATTATTAGTCTTTGTTCGATCCAAGAATATCTTCAATATAATGCAATATTTATATAAGTCATTAAACTATTATCATGGCAGGAATCAATTATTCAGAGATACGTCTATTAATTTTTTTTTTTTTTTTTTTTTGATACGTCTATTAATTAACATATTCTTCCAAACCAGTGGCTAAAAGCAAATACATTTTGGGAGTGAAAACTTTTAGAACATAAGAATATAAAACAATACACTAGATGTAAATAATATTCGTCTGTATTTTGTTTACTTTATTTCAACTTTTCAGTATGTGATGTGAATACAATTCTTATCGAGTACGTTCAGCAATGTATGAGAAAGGTATAATTGATATGGGACAAAATCTGACTTCTAATGTTCACCACATATTATTCTCATCGTCTTCTTCATCTTTAACCCTCTTGAACATTTTACTCCTACTTTAGAACGTATAGGACGTGCTTTTTTGTTTGCTTTAAAGGTTCTGGCCTCTCATATTAGTTGATCCATAAACCACAACACCAACCATATCAAAAGGAGTAAAGGCATGTGCAGTATGCAGAATCAGCTTAATTACAAAAATCAAATCTTGTCTCAAAAGTCGCTGATGGAAAGAAAAAACAAAAGAGAAAAAAGAAGATTGATATGTGTACGTTGTTACATTATTAACATGAGCATGAAACTTCTTGATGCTTTATGATGCTGAACAATAAAAAAAGCCAAAATAAATATGATGGACACGAAAAAGAACATCGCCTCTTTGGATATCGAATATGCTTTCTCTATCCATCGCCGATGCCATCCCTATTGACTGTTTTGGTCAACCAAAGTATATAGTAGTACTGTCACTGATATCACTCATCTGGTTATGAGATTTCTAATTCATTTGCTAATTGCTTATTTAATTAAAATCTTTAACATCAGAGATTCAAACACATCGCCAAGGAAAAAAACTCTACTTGTAAAGTCTACTAGGGACTTCGACCCGGAACTTCGTACTCTAAAAAAATCATATTTTGTGGGCTGCTTTGATAAATAGCATCGGTAAGATCATACAGTTAATGATAAATCTATCATAAATATGGAAAAAGGAACAAAGAAACAGTGTGTGAGAGACTTTAGATTACAATCAACTAATCTCCTAGTCTCTTTGTGTATATCCACACATTTCTATTGCTTTGGGTAAGAGAGTACCTCCTAAGGATTTAAATAAGTGATCAAGTGTGTTTGTGTACCTAGAGAAACAATAAGCTACCATTTGATTAATGCGCCTCCAAATGTCTCCCACTCATCACCTCCTTCCTCCGCGTTGTCCTGCTCTTCGCCCTGGGTTTCTTGAAAACTGGATCTGCAAATTTTTGGAGTCCGGTTCATTTTCATCCATTCTATATCCTGTCAAATGCATAGTAGCATCAGTTAAGTTCGTGTTTGAGTGTCTTTCTTCAGTTAAAAAAAGACAGCAACATGTTGATGAAGATTGTATATTACAAGAAACAAATCAAACTAATATATAACCAATCTAGGAAGCAGGGATAGTAAAAGTGTTACCTTGCAGGGCGGTACGAGCAGTTGCTGCACATGCAGGACTTTCAAAATCAACAAAACATAGAACAACAGGATCTCCATTCCTCTGCATAAAAAGAAAACTTAAGCAAGTCAAAAGAAATAAAAATTTGTTTAAAGTTGCAACAATGCTTCAAGTTGGAACAAGTGAATCTTACTTGCTTTGCATCTTTTGTCACAAGTCTCACTTCTCTATATCCCAAAAATGGCCTAAATATATCTAAGACATATAGTTAAGGACACTAACCAGTACAAAACATTCTTAACTGGTGTAAGAGCTTTTGAAAATGAACCATGATGAAAGGATACGAGATACTTCCCTCCTAGAGCAATTAGAAGGAAGTCCTTCAACAAATAAAGTGTTGGATGCATCTGGAGGTAGACGAAGCAGTTCCCTTCCAGGCCTACCAACTAAATCATGTTGACTAAAACCCAAATCACGACCATTTGGCCCAAAATCTGGAGACAGAACTCCACCACGCCCACTCATGAGCTCATCTCCTCGTCTTCCCATGCCAACACCATGAAACCGACCAGCTTCTTCAGATGGCATCATAGAAGACGTTTGCTACAAAAAAAAAGGAAACACTTTCAAATTCACTGACGAAGTAAACGAAGAAGAGACAATACATAAAACATAAGTGAATAAAGGATTGTGTACCGCACTCTGAAGGTAGCGATCATAAGCTGAGCCAATAGTTCTCGTATCTCTTACTGAATGAAGGATACCACGATCCTCATCCCGTGACACGTAATCATCGCCTGAGTAAGACAAGGCGAAAAGACGTTGTTTAACACATTAACAGGTATGTTAATGAATCTTTGTACATAATTACAATAACATAATCTGTAACTACATAAGCAGTGATTATCTGTTGAGTGGTGAAACTGACTCAACATAGGATCAATATTATTTACTATGTAGAGGGAACCATTCCATCACATACATAGTTGTAACTAAAGTATCAAAAACTCCTAAAATAGTAATAGCAGTAACTAAAAGAGATATTGTTTTCAGGTCCAAGGAGGAATCTTTAAGACCTATAACAGGTAATAACATGTTTAATTGTCTTTATGACAAGTAGCAAAACAATCCCCATTACATGAAACATTGAATCTCCAAGTGTTTGAAACAGCTTATTTAGGCGGACAAAAGAAGGAGAATTTATCATTACCGAAGTCGGAACGGTGACGTTTCAGAGGACCATCGTGAGGGATCGGAGGCTGATGGTGTCGCTGCTGGTGGTTCCAGTATCCATCCGCCATTGACTGCGACGGAAACAATTACTTTCTAATTTTCGCTCGATTTCAATTTCAGTTTCTGCTTTTAGATAACCGAATTACCCCAATTTTCTGTTACCCGACCCGGTTTATTCTGACACTAACTTAACGGGCCTATACTCATACATCTGTTGGCCCATTTTACGAACACATTTGGTATGCCTTTTAGATTGTTACTCAGTGTCGATTCTCTACAAGTAATTGTGAATAGTAAACTTTCCACTAATGGGTTTGATTTGATTAGGTTTAGATTCTCTAGCAATTCGATGGGTGATTATTTGAAACTCTTACTTTTTTGTATAATATTTAGTATCATCTTTTCTAGAAGATTAATTAGCAGACTATTTAGTGGGATTTGTTGAGTAGTGAAAGATATGTTTCTGAATTTTATATTGAGAATTTTCTTGGGGGGTTTTGATCTAAAAGAGATTCACGCAACTCGGACGATATGAGCAAAGACTAATCAAGTCTTGCGAGCTGAGTTACACACTTACTCTGAAATGGGGGCCCACATTCAAACTTGTTTCATTAAATTATATAACTCACAAGTCACAACGTGGCGTATATATCACTTGTTTCATTTGTGGACGTAGTATAATGGATTTTGTTTTACACTAGAATAGGGTTTTAGGCTGAGTCGGAAATTCCAACTCCAAGAAAGCTCAGGAAGTTGTGTAGCACAAGAAGCAGAGCGATCTGCTGAATCAAAAGTCGCTAAGGAGGCCATAAACGCCCCTAGTAGCTCGTGTAATATCTAACTCGAACTAACATGCGGGTTAACATGAAATAAAGTCTGTGTGTTGTAAAGACTAGTCAGACTAACTTTTGCATCTTTTTATTTACAGCAGGTAAGTCTTTTTCTTGTATTAATGACCAAAATGGTTCTCATTTTCCACAAAGAAAATGGATTGGAGGCATTGACATATTGGGAATCTCATGTTGCTTCTTTTAGAATCACCAGAATGGGCTGAGCAGTATGAGTGGGGCCTGTATTTAACTCTTGTGGCCTTCCATGATGGAACTTAATTAATATCAAAGACGAGTTTTCTTCAGGTCAAAACAAACACCTCCTTTTCATTTTGCAATGCATTTTGACCTTATACAACTTTCACTGGATCCGTCTATATATGTATGAATGTCCCAATCTACAAAAGTAGTTTAAATTTTTTGCTGTCGAATAAGATTTGTACGAGAAATTAAACGTGCAATAACTAGCATGAGAAATCATCATGCCCTACGGGACCTACTGTAAACCAGATGGCAGCTGATCCAAACACAGACTTTACTTCATCATTTGAACCCGCATGTTTTAGCCGGTCGATATTCACCATGTCACTACTTTGCACTCAAGAGCTTCATTTTCTATTATATATTGTTATTATTCTTTTTCTTTTTTGCAACAAAGTCAATTACACATGTGAAAGTACTTGCTTTTAATCCACTTTTTTTTTCCAAATTAATCGATGGATTTGGTATATATTCAAACAAACATTTACAAAAAAAAAAAAACAAAATTCATAACGTTATAACAATAAAATAATAAATGCCTCCAATAGGATTATAGCCGATGAGCACAAGTAGCTAATTAAAGAGGAACAAGAGTCATTAAAGATAGAATAGAAATTCATGAAAACGCCCACCAAACATGAATATACACATATCATCAAATTGCCAATTTGATTCTAAGAAATGACGACAACATCCGAGATGCAGAAGTATAACCCCTCTAAGTCTATGAAAGTGTCTCCTAAAAATAATGAAAAACGTAAAACATATCATGTGTCATATTATACTAGTAACTAAGATCAACTTGAAATAAAAATCCAATTCAAGAATCAAAAAAATTGTTGAAAAAGTCCATGTAAGAAGGAGACGGGATCGTCGAAGGAGTGGCTTGTAGGATAGAGCTAAAGTCATTGAAGAACGACGAAAAACCTTGAGGATCGGACGCTCCAACCGTAGAAAAGAAATCTGGCGATATCGGCGGTAGAGAAGCGGGCCCTGGAGACAAGATCCCAGCACGTTCTATTGCTCGGTTTTGATGATGATGATGCTGTTGATAATATTGATCTGTGGTCTCTACGCCACCCACAAACCCTAGCTCACTTGAGGCATTAGCTTTCTCCATCGCAGCATACCTAGCCGCCGGAGATATCGAGCCACAAGATGCATCGAACACTGTTGACGTGTCTCTTGATGCAGATGTGTAGTCAAGTTCTAAGGTTGATGGAGAAGAGGAGGATGGAATTGTGGAGGTAGAGGTTTTGCCTGTTAGACGTTGAACCAGTGTCATGAAGTTATTAGGGTGTGTATGGATAATCTTGGGGGATACAGCGTATATGATCACTGGACCACGTGGAGGCAATAGTTGTGATGGTTCTTGCTCGTGTAGCTGCGGTGGTTGTAGTCGTGGTTGTGGCGCTAATGGTGGCTTCTTGATGATTTTGTGGGATTCTTTATGGATTTTTAATGGAGTTGGTCTTGGTCCCAAGATTTCTTTTGATCTTGGAGATTTATTATCCATAGCGCCCACTTTATGAGAAGAGTATATATATAAAATATAGAGAGGTATATGCGTATATATGTTGCGAGTGCGGTGATAGGTTTTAGTAAAGAAGAACAATGAGTATGTGATGATTAAGGGAAAAGAGAAGGTGAATGCTTTGTATATATATGATATCATTTGTGTATGAAAGAGGGAGAAGAGAAAAGTCAAAAGAGGAAAGCAAAAGTTTCCTACTGAAAATGTGGTAAAATTTGGCTTCTTGGTTGTTTTGTGTTGATAAGTATATTTTAATGTTCTTTCATGTCTATTTCTTACCAAGATGTGGGTTTGGTTTACCCATAGATAAAAGTTTTCCAGTCCTTAGAAAAGAAAAGACTCACGTTTTAATTCACGACTTTAAGAACTAGTTGTTACTCTTTTTTATTTCTGAAAACTAGTTTTTTTAGTGCAAGGCTTACAAAAACTAGTTTTTACTCTTAATACACGTTTGTATGGTGAATATGATGATTCGCTAGGTGGTGCTCACGTTGCTATTTTGTTTTTAATTTATTCTTGTGATCTAAATAAGTAAACAGAAGAACTGACTTTAACTCAAAATGGATTAGTACTACTTATGTGTGTTCTTTTGTTTGCAACTTGATGAAAAAAAAAATTGAAGGGTTTGAATACGTCCAGTCTTGAGGAAGTCAAAAGCGAAGAAGAGGTCATGAGTGCCACAGTCAGACAGTTTGTTGCTGACTTGGCATGATTTTGCTGCTCCTTACACGGTTCTGCTCATCCAGACATGGAACCAGTTTCCGTGGACCATATAACCAACACAATTTTTTCCTTTATCAAACTATATTTATACAAAATAAAAATATATAGATGTGGTCACTCAACTTTAATAATATACGTTAAAAATTAAACAGTTGTCTACTAGCTTTTTGAAAATTTAAAATGAAGGTTGAGATATAGTGGTTTAATGGTTAGGTATGTCCACTTTCATAACTGAATCCCTCTATTCAAGTTCTAGTCAGACTCTTTAATTTACAGAAAAGGTGTAACGTAAATGATTGGAGTGAGAAATAACTTGTAACGGTTATGAAATCTTAATTGTTAGGAAACATGTTTGTATCCAACAGTTATACTACTAACTCGCTTCATAAGGAACTCATTAAACATTACGAAAAGATAAAAGAGTGCTTTCTCGCATTTCGTCCACAAGCCTCGAAGCTTGTCAAGTGATGAAACCGAGATGTGTTGTGTTGACTCATAATCACAAGAATGATGACTCTTAGACCATGATTATACTAAGTTTTTTAGGGCGGATTTCTTAAAGAAATATAAGAAACAGTTTCTTATATTTTTTCTAAGAAACCCGCCTTATGAAACTTGGGATAATCATGCTCTTACGACCGGAAACAAGTTAAATGTGTTACATTTATTTGAGAGACAACTATTTTGCATTGATCATTTGACTGTCCTGTGAGTGCTTAATTGCAATGTTGTTACTAGACGCACTACAAGAAAACAAGGCTTATTCCGAGGAAAATTCCGACGGCCACGCAGTTCCTCGGAAAATTCCGATGGGATTCCGATGGAATTCCGATGAAACACAAATTTTATGTTTCCTCGAAATTCCGTCGGAATATTCCGACGACATTCCGAGGAACCTATATTCCGTCGGGATAAACCGAGGACATTCCGAGGATAAATTATAGCCGTTGACGAGCCATTGGAAAAGTTCGAAAATTCCGAGAATTTTACATTTTCCTCGGAATTTCATCGGAATATTCCGACGGAATTCCGAGGGATATTTATGACCGTTGTATATTCTGACGAAATTCCGACGGATTTTTGTAGCCGTTGTATATTCCGACGAAATTCCGACGGAATACTAGTTTTCCGTCGGAATTTCGTCGGAATCGTCGGCAGAATTTCATCTATAAATACAAGCACCCCTCCTCTCCTTTCATTCACTCAATAATCTCATCCTCTCACTTATACACACGAATCTGGTTCACAAAAACATGTCTTCTTCAAATTATTATCGTTCGTGGATGGATCGACCTCATTTGGATCCGGACACGAAATTACTTACGGAAGAATATCTTAAAGGCATTAGGGAATTCATGGCGGTAGTTCAACGACAACCGGAAGCAAAAACGGGTATGTTAAGATGTCCTTGCTCTACTTGTAAAAATAGAAAGGTTATAAAAGAGTGGGATGTTTGGACTCATCTATATTTGAACGGGTTTACACGAAGTTACAAAATTTGGTATCAGCACGGGGAAACTGATTATGAATATG